GATGAAAATATTTGGAGAGATTTGAAGTTTTCCCTAAGAAATCTTTGGCTTTATCCCCAATGGGATGTTGTTTCATTGCCATTTTTTAAAAAAAATATGAAATTATCTGTTTCTATGAACTTTTTATTCACATATTCTTTAGAATTAAATTATTTAGCTTTATTTAACTTTGAATCATTTCTTCAAATGTCCTTTTTATTATATTTTTTATTGCTATGATCAATCATGGATATTCTGAATATTGTGCTTTTCTGAATGTTTGCTTTTTTTCTTCCCTAGAACAAGCTAATTTTTTTTTTTGTAAAAGTGTCACACAGCTGAGAAATACATGTATTCATTTCTGTTTCCATTCAGTAATATCCAGAGGTCTTTCATGTTTAACTTTTCCAAAATTCTTTTCAAGTCCTTACCTACCTTCTTTCTTATTTATCTTTTTTAAATAATATTGAAAGAGGCACATTGAAACCCCCAAGTATTATAGTTCTGTTATCTGTTTCTTTTTGTAATTTTAATTAATTTTTCCTTTAAGTTCTTAGGTACTATGCCATTCAATGCAAATATACTAATTACTGATATTATTTCATTATTTATGGTGCCTTTAAACATAATATAGTTTCCCTGCTAGCCTCTTTAATCTTACATATTTTTACTGTTGCCTGAGATCACAATTTCTACGCCTGCTTTTTTAAAATCACCTGAAGCTTATTCATTTTTGTTCTAGCCCTTAACTTTAAATCTGTGTGAATCTTTATGCTTTCAGGTGTGTTTCTTGTAAACAACATATTGTTGGATTCTGCTTTCTAATTCATTTTTCTACCTTTCCCCCATTTTTGAGTGTGTTAAATTACATTCACATTTCCATTCACACACTACACATTTCCTCATCTGTAAGATCAGCTTTCTGGTGGTTAACCTCTCTGAACTTAGACTGGCCCTAAGTCTAGAGGCATATGGTCTGTCTTGGGACTTAAACTTCACCAGTCATTTATTGAGTATGTGCTACATAACAGGCACTGTGCGAGGTGTTAGAGATAACAAACATAAAAGCAAAACAGGACCTACTCTAAAGGAACTTAGTCTATTGATTCTACTTGAAGCCTTCCTAATTTGATGTAGAAGGACCTGACATACCTGGACATTCTTGTAGAGCCTTCTAGAGCCCAGGGTTATTTCCATGCATAAAGTAAAATTTTACTGGGGTAGACAATTGTATATTTACTTGTGTATTTCTATTCATTACATCCTCTTTTTTTCCCTTTTATTTTTCCTCCTGCCTTCTTTGCAAAGAAGAAGGAGGTGTGGAGAAAGAAAGAACCTGATCAATACTAGTAATCTTCAGTTGAAAGAGTTTGTTTTCTTTGCCCCATTTTCCTTACCAAGCTCCTACCCCAATATCTGGTTCGTTGTGCTTTCTTTTTCTTTTTAATTCCCCCCTTTATCCTTTTGTGGTCCCCCCTTTTGAATATGAGGATTGCTTTGTTTGTGACTATTCCCATTCTGACTTTCACCTTCTTAAATTCCCTTTCCCTTCTCCCATCCCCATCCCTGCCTATTTCCCTTTTTCCTATTGAGTACAATGTAGTTCTACACCAAACACTTTTTGTGTCTATGTTCAGCCTTCCTTAGTTTGCTATCAATAGGAGTGAGGTTCACAGCTTACTTGTTCCCCTTGGGTTTTTCTCCATGTGTACTCTTTTCTCATCTTAGTTTCAAGAAATTGTAAGTTCCTCTTCTTTCTTTTTTCTTTCCTAATGTCCCTTTCCTTGCCTTTTCTTACTCTCTTAACATCAAGAAAACAGAACAAACTATACCCAGTCCCTGTATTTAGTTGGGGGTCAGTTAGGTGGTGAAGTGGATAGAGTGACCAGCCTTGAGTCAGGAAGACTCATCTTCCTGAGTTAAAATCTGGCCTCAGACACTTACTAGCTGTGTGACTCTAGGCAAATCAGTTTGTCTCAGTTTCCTCATCTGTAAAATGAGCTAGAGAAGGAAATGGCAAACTACCCTAGTATCTTTGCCAAGAAAACCCCAAATGGGGTCATAAAGAGTTGGACACGACTGAAAAAAGTCTGAGCAATAACAAAAAATGTTTATTTGGTTGTTTTTAATGCGCTCTATGACACCTCAGTACAGTGGAATTCTGAAAAGGACATTTATTTCTCCATTGCTAGCCAGAAAGTAAGTCCTTCTAATTTCTCAAATGCATTTACTTTTCTAATGTTTCTCATAACTCTCTTGTTTGTTTGCATTTCAGAGTTTCTCCTTTGCTCTAGTCATGATTTCATCAGGAATTGTTGAAAATCATTTATTCTTTTACAAGTTTATTTTGTCCTCTGTAGGATTATACTCAGTTTTGCAGGGGAAGTTAATTCTTGGATAACCTTTTATTCTTTGCCTTTTGGAATATTTGTGTTCCATGTTTTCTTTTGTTTTACCTGTATTTCCAGACTTAATTTCTAGATTGGGACTTCATGCCAGGCCAAGGTTCCTCCTCATTCTTCAATCTTGAATGGGTTGATTATACCCTGTTTGGTTCTGTTTCCTCTGCAGCCTACATGTCATTGCCATTCTTGATGGAAGGTCTGGTACTAGACCCCACCTTCTGCCTCAGTCCCAGGCTTCTTTCTCAGTTGGCTTTGTGGGTACTGACCTTAGTCTGTCTCAGTCTCTTTCTCCTGGAGCAGTTTCCAGTTTGGAGTTGCTTTCATCCCCTCGTGTGGCCTTGATAGGGCCTAGTCAGATGTTGGAGATTATGCTGGTCTCAGACTTCACCATGAAGTCCAGGTGTACATCAGCTTTCGGACTTGTCCCTGTTTCTTGATGTAGCTCCTAGTGCCCCAAGGAGTGCAAGCCTTTCTCTGTGTATATAGACGTTTCTGGGGGCCAGCTCTGTCCTCTGTCTTTGTTCTAATAGGGCAAAGATGAGACCACTATGAGATCCAATTATAGCAGATTTTGTTGACTTCCAGCCTCCTTGGAGTGTCATTATTAAGAGCCTTGGTAGACTTCAGCCCCATTTATTAGAATTCACATTGGCTTCTCTGGCACAGCTTTTCTGGATCTGACCGACTTCTATTTATCTCTTTGTGAAGCCCTGGACTGGATGGATAAACTTGCTTCTCTTCCTCTTTGGTGTTCTTGATTACCCAATTGTGTCTGGGGCTCTTTTTAGATAATTGCTGGGGAATATGTGGGCGAGCCAGGATCCTATATGACCTTTCATGTCATCATCTTAACCAGAAGATGCAACTAACCTTTTCTTCCTCATTTCTTGTTATTCCCTAAAAGGAGGCCTCTGCTCTAGTCAGATTTACATACACTTCACATTTCTGTCTCTGTTCCTTCCTTCATTTCATTTGGAATGTATGTCCTTATCTATTTCTTTTGAGGCAGTTAGGCGACACAATGAATAGAGCACCGGGCCTGGAGTCAGGAATACCTGAGTTCAAATCCAGCCTCAGACACTGTCTGGGCAAGTCACTTAACCCTGTTTGCCTCAATTTCTATATCTGTAAAGTGAGCTGGAGTGAGCTGGAGAAGGAAGTAGCAAACCACTCCAGTGTCTTTGCCAAGAAAACCCCAGATGGGGTCATGAAGAGTTGGACATGCTCTGAACAACAACAACAACATTTTTTTTGATAGTCCCTTCCTCCCTACATTTCCCCAGAGTACAAACATTAAAGAGTACTAGATTTGGGATCGAAGAAGTGAATTTGAATCCTGACTTTGCCAGTATGACAGTGACTTTGTAACAATGGGCAGGTCAAATAGTCTAAGCCTCAATTTCCTCGTCTGTAAAAAGATCAACTTCTGGTGGTTAGCCTCTCTGAACTTAGACTGGACCTGAATCTAAAGGCATATAGTCTGTCTCTGGGCTTATACTTCCATTCAGAGTGTAGCACAATATATATCAGACACTACGCTAAGTGCTGGAGATACAAACACAAACCAAATGGGCCCACTCTGAAGGAGCTCAGCCTGTTGAGTCTCCTTTGAAGCCTTCCTAGCTGCTATAAGAAGGACCTGACAGCCTTGGACATTCTTGTAGCGTATTCTAGAACCCAGGGGTATTTTCATGCCAAACTGGTGCATTAGAGAAAGACTGACTGGAGTGGACAGGCCAGCAACATGAAAATTATCCCAGTCCCCCAGACTCTAGGCCGGAATTCTCTCTGGCTTCTTTCTGTACCTCCTGCTGTGCTCCCAGCCAGTGGCTGGGCCTTGCTTAGAGTTCCTGTCCTAATGTTTCTTGGAACTTCCTTTTCCATTGCTGCTTGCCAGAATTCTAGTCCAAGAATGAGCTGTTTAAAGTTTCTGAGCAGGGAATTCCATAATCAAACCTTTATTTTCCTCTGAAAGATCAATCTGGTAAAATGTCACCTGTCTGGGACACCTTGCCTCCCCAGCTGGCTCCTTTGTTGTCACACTTCCTTTGTTTCACTGGCCCCTCAATGGGCCTGCTTAATTTCTTTTCCACTTACTGCTTTTGACCAGCCATGATTTATTTCCTCACCTGGCATACTATGGACAGAGTACAAGTCTCATTGCTTCTGCCTTATATTTCTTTCCCTGGAGAAGGAACACAGACTTTTTGAGGTTTTATGTGAGTTTTTTTTTATCATTCTGCTAACAAAGGGAAAAACAGAATTTATAAAGTTAATGTATAATGCCTATCATCTTTCTTCCTACATTCCCCTCCTCCCCCTTTAGATCATTAGAGAGACAAAGTTTTAACCCTTAATGGTGAATGTTTGTATGTCAGTGACTGCAATAAGATTCATCTATATTTCAGAAGAAAACCAGCTATCTTATTGAACATTTCATCCCAAAAGTCAGGCTCACAGGTGATAAATAGAATGAGTCCTTTGGGTAAGAGATAAAGAAATAGGCTATGGGACACTGTGAAAGGACTGGGCCTGGCCTGGAAACCTATAGTGATACAAAGTTGATTCACTTTCAGAGACGGGCACATTGTAGCCACAGAGGAATACCCATGGAAATCTGTCCAAGAAATCTCAGGTGAGAGAATGCTTTTCCTACATTAGAAGTGTCAGATAAATGGCCCATAACACTCCCAAGTGTGGACAGAACCAGACTAAAATGTAAATGGGAAATATTGAACAAAATAAATAAAAAATACAATAAAATAAGGATAACATTAGTATGTGGTTTTCCTACAGGGATCCTTATCCCTAAATCCTTCAGGAATTTAGCGGTCCCTATTCCTGTTTGAGTTTGACGCCACTACCCCACATCATTCATAAGGAAGACTCTTGTTATGTCTGGCAAAAGTAAATAACTTCAATGTTGAGTGATATGTCAGTGGCTTTTCAGGAAATATTTGCATTGCTCCTAATTTAAGCTCCTAGTTAATACTTTAGGAGTGGGAAGGCAAATTGTTGGGGTTTTTTTTTCTGTCAGTTTATATATGACAAAACTAAATAAGTATGAACAAATTGAGGCAATATAGAAGGGATCAAATATGTTAATTTCAATTCAACAAGTATAAAGCAGTTGCTTTGTGCCAGGCAATGTGCTAGTGATATAAAGACAAAAACAAGTCTCTCTCCTCAAAGAGCTCATGGAGGGAAAAGCTGTGGAGGGAAAACGGTATGTACATAGATCTATACAAAGTAAATATAAAATAACAAGAATATCAACAACGGAGAGGGTCAGGAAAAGCTTCTAGGGAGCCTTGTCAAGAAAATGAGGGATTCTAGGAGGTGGAGGCTGGGAGGGAGAGCATTCTAGGCATGAGAGACAACTTGTGCACAGACGTGAAGGAAGTAGATAGAATGTGCCGGGAACAACACATAGACCCCATGTTGGCCAGGCTCTATAATGTGTGGAGGGCTGTGGTGTGAAATTAGTCTCTGAAATGAGGTTGTTCAGAGTTTTAAATGCTAAACAGAATAGTTTTATTTGATCATAGGAGTCATAGGGAGCCATGATAGCTTCTTGAGGTGCCTGTGGCCGCTCTCTCTGTTTGGACGGTAACCACATCTTGTTGGTGATATCTCCTCCACATCTGTTCCATCTTGTCCCCTTCTGTTTACTCATATCTCAAGCACCTTCATTACCACTCCCCTGGACTACTGCAGTAGCCTCCTACTCGGTCTCCCTATATCGTCTCTCCCCTCTCCATTCCATCTTCCATAGAATTGACCAGACTTTGAAATTTCCCTGCTCAAGAAGTTTTCCTTGCCTTCAGAATAAAATACTGACTTTATTGCTTAGCATTTAAAGCCCTTAATTTAACTCTGGCTTCCAGCCTATCTTTCCAGGCTGGTTGCACATTACTCACCTCCATGATCCTACAGTGCAGCCAACGTGGCCTTCTTGCTGTTCCTTACATGTGATTTATTCCATCTCTCATCTTAGTGCCTTTCTACAGGCTGTTTCCCCCTGCTTAGAATTCTTTCCCTATCACCCCTGCCTCTTGGCACTCCTACAGCCCCTCAAGGTTTAGCTCCTTCAGTGCCACCTCCTTCAGGAGAGCTTTACTGATTTCCTGGGTTCATCATCACGGTATTTATTTTGTATGTATCCTGTATTCATTCATCTGTGAACATGATATGTCTCCATTTCCTGTAGAGTGAGGAATAGGGGACTATCCCATTTTTTTGTATTTGTATCCCAAGCTTCTATGTATGTGTGGCACTTAGTAGGTGTTTATTTGACAAAAATAACTACCATTTATATAACACTTTAAGGTTAGCAAAGCACGTAACAAATATTTTCTTGTTTTATCTTCTCAACAGTTCTGATATTTTTATTCCCATTTTATCAATAGGTAAACTGAGGCAGACAGCATTTAAGGTCAGTAAGTATCTGAAGTAGTAGTTGAACTCAAGTCTTTCTGACTCCAGGTTCACTGTTCCACCTAGCAGATTGATTGATTGATTTAATAGTATGAAAATGCATGATGCTACTTCTTCTGGGGAAGAGCCAGATTTCTGTGAGTACGAGAAGATGGAAAATTGAAGTCATGAAAGAGGAAGAGGTCTGCTCCGAAGGGTAGTGGAGTTCCTCTGGAGTTCTAGAGGACACATTGGTAGAGGAGGGCTAAGCTGAATAGGAGCTGTCTGGGGGATGAAAGAAGGAGGAATGGTAGCTGGAAAGAGAGTTGGTTTGTTTTTTAAGTGTTTTGTTAATGCTTTTTTTCCCTTTTTTTCTGCCATTTTGAAATAACTGTGTCACCCCATTAGGAACCTCCTTTATAACAAGTGAATATAGTTAAATAAAACATATCAACACATTGACCACGTCCAAAAAAATGTACCATCACTCCTTGGAGGCTTGGAGGTCATGCATCACCATCAGTCCTCTGAAGCCTTTCACTGTTGTTTTCCTTTATGTTACTATGGTCATTATGTTAATAATTCTCCTGGTTTTGCTTAACTTTGGTTCATATATGTGGGGAGGGAGTTTATGTCTAGGTAGATGCTGACTTTTAATTTCAGATATTCTTAAAGGAAGAGAGAGTTTGCCAACTACAGTACAACAGAATGCCTTACCTAAGCAATGACAGCTCTATCCTAAGCCTTAGCTAGGAGGCTTAAAATTTTTTTTCCTATTTTTGGCTGAGACTTTGTAGCAGGATGAGTCTGAGTATTAGGAGGACAAACTTGGTACTTGGGCTTTCTCTGGTTACAGTAGCTTGGGAAGAGTTGTTTTACTTACCCTTCCTCAGACACTGCTGGTCTTCAGATGTGGATTTGATTTCCTCCCCCTGGGCATAAGCCCTCTGATGTTTGTTTGGTTCATTTTGTTTTAATTGTTTTGTGTGTCACCAGGGCAGGGCTCTTGTGAAATCTTTCCTTCATTTTTATTCTCATTTATCTTTCCCTTTTGTCTTTTTTCTTGTCTTCTCATCTTTTCTTACACAAATCTGTTTATCATGAATTGACCAAAAGCATCTTGACTGTTATTTTTTCCTAGGTTTCTCCCTTGCAGCAAATGTTTCATATGTATGTCTATGTTTATGTGTATATATATACAACATATGTGTATACACATATTTAATTACATGTTATTTTTCATTTTTCAACATTAATTTTCCTTTTGTGGTCCATGTTTTGATCTTCCTTAGATCTGTTTTGGCAACATCTCCCTATTCAGAAGCATCTCTAGATTTCATTAGCATAATATTTACTGCTTATTTTAGGTGATTAAGAATACTGCCAAATAAGAATTAGCTTAATCTGTATTTTATACCATAAGTGATTATTTTGCTTATTAAAAAAAGACAACCATAGACCTAGAACTGGGAGGCATCTTAGAGGTCATCTAGTCCTATGCTTCTTAAACTGGGGTCATAAACTATACAGTTTAAGAACCCTGGAGGGATCTTAAGTGGAAGAAGTTTAAGAAGCCCTGAAAATTATTTCATCTTACAAATGAAGAAACTGAGGTCCAAGAAAGGGTAAGTGACTGCTCCAGGGTCACACAGGTAATAATAAGTGTCTGAGCTACCTTTGGGTCCAATTCAATGTTCGTTCCACTCTACTATGCTGCCTCCATGAGTCTTATTAAAAATTGCATCAAAAATATTTTTGAACAGTATTGACATTCAAGTTGATTTGTCTGACTTCTCAGGTATATTTCATAACATGATACAGAAGGACACTTGATTCTAGAATGTGCTATTATGGCTTACACAATTTTCATGAATTCTTGCCTCATACCTCATACTACAGAAAACCAAATGTTTTAGTTCTAAAATCTAGGACTGCTCTTGGGATGCAAATTGTTTCAGTCTTTTCTTACCTGCAGAGGCCAAATTAATTCTGTCACCTTTTCACCAGTGGCTTAGATCTGCTGGGGGTGAGTTAATGTTATGGAAATGACTTGGACTTGAGGGATATATCTGAGGAGCATATAGTGGCTTCTGGTAAATGCTAGAGCTTCTTGTCTGATAGCAAACTTTGTCACCTGTGTTGTGCACTTTTACCCAGTCACGTGCTAGAATGAATTGAAGTAGTATTGATAAAGAATAGGCCATTAAATATTTTGAAATGATAGTTATTTAGTAGAATTGTCTCTTTGCTTTGTATGAGTTGACACTGTAGGTCAGTAAGTAAAGGTATGGGAAAGTCCTAACTCTGAATTGATTTTCCTGTCTCCTCTGTCTTTTCAAATCCCTAGCTCATGTGCTGTTTTTCCACTGGAAGTCTTTCCTAATCCTCTTAGTTGCTAGTCTTCTATCCTGACTCAAATTATGTATATAGTACTAATAGTAATAATTCACCTTTATATAATGCTTTATATATGTGTATATGTGTCTGTGTATCAGTGTCTATGTATGTATCTGTGTAACTATAATCAGACTTCCAGATTCCTCAGTCCACTCAATTCTTATCACCTATTGCTCCATTTCACTCATGCTGTTCAAGAGATGGCCATGTTGTTGAGCTGGCCATCACTCACAAGTATTCTATAACTGTATTTACAAACTCCCCAGTTCTTTTATCATTCCATCTTTCCCTATGCTCTATGACCATTAAACCTTTCCTTCATCCTCACTGTGTTCTCCATTCTTTCCACCCTTCTGTTCTTTAGAAGCAGTCATCCCTACACTGCCCACACTGTTTGTCCTTCCTTAACTTGACCCTTTGGTGAACCAGATCAACTCTACAATTTCTTCTACTCTTGAATCCCTTGGTCCCTTATCATAACACTGATAATTTCTTATGCTATACCATCTCTAGATTACTCCTACCATCTGCCACCTTTGTTTCTGTTCACATGCTGTTGAATGGAGCTGGAGGAAATCATGAAACTATGGTGACTTGGGTTCACTACAAATTTATGCCAGCTAAACATAATCAGTCACACACTCAGACACACACTCAGTTGAGCCCTCACTCCAGCCCAGTAATCAGTCTTTACCTCTCTAATTGATTCACTATGCCACACCCTGTAGCAGTTGTTCTAAACCTTCTTATTTCTCCTCAAGCCTCCCATGGCATCTCCTTTTATCAGCTCACCTGAGGACCTTTCCTCATACCTCACTGAAC